TCTCTCTCTCTCTCTCTCTCTCTCTCTCTCTCTCTCTTTCTGTCCTTGTCACATGCAGTTATACAGGCACACTTATCCCTCTCTGTGTGTGTGCTGTCCACGTGTCTTTATGTGTTCAAGTTAACAATACCCACAAAGATACTTAATAACCCCAGCACGCACATGCATACACACACACTGCTATGATGTTCTCCCATACTCTGTCTTTACTTTGCAGACACCTGTAGGCTGTAGTTAGGAACACACAACCACAACACACACACACACACACACAACCACCCACGCACACACCTGATGTTTCCCACCTCTCGGCCAGAGTGTCAGTCTCTTTATGAAAGGCCTGCCTGGCGCCTAACTGTGAGGCCCTTTTAATTAGAGCCCTGCTGTTAAGCACCGGCCTCCTCCAGTAGTCCCAACCACTTCTCACACTCACACACCCTCTGTCTCTGTCACACTCGCCACCACGGTGCTTCCTTCCCTCTCCTTGTTCTGGGTGCCTGGTTCACATACACTATCAACAACAATAGTTTGTATTAACTGTATTTCATCCAAAATCCTTGGGAAAAATAATTTTCAAAAGAATGATTGAGTTCAGATTTTGCTTGCGTGCTTGGGTTTTATTTTATTCATGAGAATCTGAAACCAGTTAAAAAGGAAAACAATTGTTGGCATGCTGTACGATCTCACAAAATGAGAAACGGGAAAGCACGAATAAACATGCCCTCAGTTTTTAGCCTGAACAGAAATAGTATGAGAGGAAAAACATTTGAATACTATGATATTATACCTTCTGTTGTCTCAGAATAAAAAGTCTAGCTAATATATTATGATGAATTTTTTTAAAGGAGAAGAAACAAGGAACATTTTAAATATTGTCACAAGGGAAAAAGCCGTTTTTAAAAGGGAATTTTAACATATTCCCAAAGGAAAATCTTTGTTTTAGAAAACTGCATGAAAAAACACATTTAAAATAAAATAAAATATGAAGACCTTAAAAAGTTTGCTTGGAGGATTATCATTATGTGGTAGGTGATTGGAAGGAATGACAACACAACTCACCAAATACACTCAGCCTTGCAAGCTTCTGCACAAAATATTCCTGGCACACGAGCTGTTTGATCGCACCCGTAACCTGCATTCTCCATTTCCCTTTTCAAGCAAGTCCAAACCCCCTTAAAAAAAATCCCCAGGTCTCTCACATTCATTGATTCTCCTCTGCATCTGGCTGCTAGGATCAAAGCTCTATTGTGTTGGGGGGCCTCCTCTCTAAGCTGCTTTCCTAAGGAACTTCCACAATCAGGGGTAAGTTGATTAGAAACAATGGCAGGTGGGTAGATATTGTGTTGAATCTGGAATTCTGAGTTAAACTTCCCAAAGCTCCTGCAGTGTGTGTGTCACCCGGTTCCTGGCAGGAGGGGGGATTATAACCACACACTACACACATGATGCAGCTAACCCTGGTCTGAAATCCTAAAATGGGGGTTATAGAACAGCTCTGGTATGGTATGTTCAAACCACACGCGACAAAATATATTAAACGGCCAAGCGTGGCTAGCTACATTTTGCCCAGTCGCTAACTTGTCCTTACTCAAACTTAATCGAACGCTCGTTGGCGTTGTTATGTCGTTTAATAGCTCAGGGAACTGGGTATCGCAGGAACGGTTTTTACTCCATTTTATTCATACAGACGGGAAAAGGTATGGGGGGGAAAGGGACAAGAAATGTATGATTGGAAAAGTTGAGGCTTGCTTAATTTAGATTTGTATTGCGCATCATCAATCAATCAATCAATCAATGTTTATTTATATAGCCCAATATCACAAATGTTACATTTGTCTCAGTGGACTTTACAGTTTGTACAAAATATCAGTATGACAATACTGTCCGTCATACATCAACAAACGTAGGGCGCACATTTGTAGCTTCATATTACTGCCTTTCATTGTAAAGGACTGTTTCCTTTATGCCAATTATATGAACATAGCAGTGCAGTTGTCATCCATTAAGCTACAGTTCCCAGCAGTAACTATCCCCTTTAAATGAACTCTAAATGCTTGGAGGAAACAAGTGCTGCCTGCATCTGTGACTGCTTGTCTTCAGCTTGATGTGGGAAGACAGGTTGTTTAGGACCGTGGAGAATAGGCGATGTAGTTAGAGCAGGGTGGAGGAAAGGGAGGAGGAGAGGAAGGCTGCAGCTGTTGGTCAAGGGTGGGTCGGCAGAAATTACAACAACGCCCGAGAGGAGCACAGACCCTGTAGATAGATAAATAGATAGATTCCTTCAAATAACTCTTACAATCCCGCCTTTCGATGCAACCATCCTTTTCTTCCTCCTGATAGTCTTCCTCTGTTGGCGTCTGAATCGAGCCTTCCTCTTCCTCAGAGGAATAGACAGCCAGCTCCTGCTACGGCCCTTTTTCTGTTCACAGGGCTGGAGTTTTATCTATTATGAATTGTTTTTCTCTCTGTCTGCCCAGGGTTGCGGATATTGCCGTTAGCAGAGAAAAAGAGGAGTGAAGAAGAAGAGCGAAAGTTATTTTGCTAAAGGACATCTGAAGAGGCAGCTTTTCACACCCTCGCCCCCCCCTCTCTCCCTCCCCCCCCTCTCCCTCCATGCCCGCTTAAACACACTTCCACCTTCTTTCTCCTCTTTAAATATTGAGAATCGTTGCTGAATTCCTCTGGCCTCTTCCTTTTGATGCTACCGGCTCAGCAATAGAAATACACTTTGAAGGGATAAAACTGTCAGTATGGCAACATTTCCCCCCCCTTTGCAGGACCTCCCTGCTCCCCCCCCTGCAGGCCCCAATAAACGGGTCTGTGCTTTTCTGGTTCCCAAGCCGCACCCCCTCCCTGGCTCCCTGTGTTCTCGAGTCTGAAGGCCAAGCTCTCCCTCTGGGCTGGCTTTGGCTGCTCATTTTCACCGTATCAGAGGGTGGCTCTCAACAGGCTTGGCTTTTTAACCTCCACCATTACAAACACTCACACTGAAGAAGCAGAAGAAGAAGGAGAAGAAGATGGACCTGTATTGTCTTTACACAGACTGTAGAAGTGACCCAACTCTTTATTTAACCACTCTCCTGCTCCGAGAACACACATCCACACACTCATTCCTCTCTGATTGCTTTGCCTTTTTTCTTTTATAGCGCACATGGCTGCATTTTAGATGCTATTTAAGGTTTCGCTAACTAGTAGGGTGCAGACGCCTGTGTTGTGGGTAGCTGGAGAATCACACACAGCCTGAGTTTGGATGCAGAGCTATTCGGAAAGGCTGCATTCTTGAGCAAATGCTGTTAGTGTTCCCTGTTTCTCCAAAAGGACAAAAACAGTAAATAGCTGCTAAATTAAGCTGAAGCTTGTAAAAGTTGCAATGCGTCTCTAGGCCAAGCAACGGTCAAAACGCGGCTGGAGGATCCCCCCCCATCGAGTTCATGTTAAACAGGAGAGTGAATCCTGAGCAGAGAGTGCAGCAGACTAACATAGACGTGTTACTGCTTAACAGCCCTCTTTATGGGATCGCCTCTTTGTGTTTTAATGAGGAGGCCATAGATGGGTGGAGAGGAGATGTAGAGTGAGAGAGAGGAGGGGGGGGGGGTTGAGTCCGTTAGGCAAGATGAGCGATTAGAAAAGAGTGAGAAGGAATAGAGGATGGAGTGTTAGGAAGAAGTCGTTGAGAGGCTTAATGTCTCCTTCTCTCCGCAGGTCTAATTAGCAGAGAAAGAAGAGTGTGAGCGGCCCTCCTTAAAGTGCTGCTCTTCATTTTCTGCGTCACTTATTTTCTCTTCTAACTCGTACCACAAATGCTTTGAGAGGAAGGAAAACGCTTTTTTTCGTTTAGTTTTATAGCCTCAAAAAATAAATCCACTCTCTTTTGTTAAACAGGACTCTTTTGGCAAGCAAACGTGTGTGTGTGTGTGTGTGTGTGTGTGTGTGTGTGTGTGTGTGTGTGTGTGTGTGTGTGTGTGTCTATGTGCGCCTCATTCCTCTCTATTTACCTCCCTGTGAAAAGTGTTTTGAGCCCCCAGTGCAGTGCCATGAGATTGGCAGTTTGCTGTGTGCTGATAAAGTCACGGTGTGTGTGTGTGTGTGTGGTGTGTGTGTGTGTGTGTGTGTGTGTGTGTGTGTGTGTGTGTGTGTGTGTGTGTGTGTGTGTGTGTGTGTGTGTTGTGTGTGTGTGTGTGTGTGTGTGTGTGTGTGTGTGTGTGTGTGTGTGTGTGTGTGTGTGTGTGTGTGTGTGTGTGTGTGTGTGTTAAGTGTGCCTGCTGGAAGGGAGGGAGAACGAATATAGTGGAGGCTGGACACCTCAGGAATGTTTTTCCGATAACAAGTTCCCCCAACGTTCCAGAGCTCTGTTGTACAATTATGTGTGTTTTACAGCACTGTCTGTGTGTGTGTGTGTGTGTGTGTGTGTGTGTGTGTGTGTGTGTGTGTGTGTGTGTGTGGTGTGTGTGTGTGTGTGTGTGTGTGTTAGTTGTGTGTCCTGAGGGAGTAGAGGTTTTGCAGCTTTCTTTCTGTATTGTGATTGGCCACTTGTGTATTACGCTATTGTCTTTTTTTGTTATTTACTGCACACAAAAACACCTAAAAAATGCAAAATGATAAACACACACACACAAATTCCTACCTGTGGAGAGAGTCCAGGTCAATGCTTATGCGTAGTGTGCATCGACGCGGCGTTGTGCAACAGCAGAGCCGTCTCCAGCTCGCACGTACTTTACGTCTCTCTGCAGGCCTGCCTCATTAAACTTTCAGCTGAACAGTTAAAAAACGCTGCTGCTGTTCGGTCCCAACTGGCCGCGGCGTGAGAGCAGTCAATTAAATGCAGTCTGTCCACTGGGTTTGAAGTCAGATGGAAGGATGGCATTTGCAGCAAAACACCGTGCCGTGGCCACAGGTGGTGCTTTCTGAGCCCCGACATCAACCTTGCAGTCTGCAGTGACCCCGACAGAGCTGGAATATCTGTGTTTCTCTCCTGTCTGACTCTGTTTCCTTGTCCCCAGTCAACTCTGGAGATGGCATCGACTACAGCCAGCAGAAGAGGCAGAACATCGGGGATCTGATCCAGGAGACTCTGGAGGTGTTCGAGCGCTACGGAGGAGAAGACGCTTTCATCAACATCAAATACATGGTGCCCACATACGAGTCCTGCATGATCTGCTGAGCGGGGAGAGGGGAGTGTCCCTGACGTTAAACAGACTCTTGACTTTACCTGTTTCTCAGTTGTTTTTATCTGCCCCAAGCGCTAAAATTAAACCTTTATCTTATCACTTTCTTTATCGTAGCCCTTTCATAATCTCGTCGTCTCTTCACTCATTCTCTTTTTGTTTCCGAGCTGATCTTTACTCTGCCGCGCTCAAACCTCTCTACCCCCTCTATTATTTAGCATATCCTTTCAATAAATTCAGTACAAGTCACACTTTCTGTATCTGCGTATTAATCACAATCACTTATTAATACAAATAGAAGCTTGACAGAACAGATGTTCCTCTTTGAAATACAACAGTATGTTTAATATATTAGCCATGCATTGTTCATTTTTTCATTGCTTTCGTGATTTATTTAGCTGCTGATGAAGAATCCCTCGATGCACAGTGACTTTTATTTCAAACAGCGATATGCGTCAGATGACAAATGTGAAACTCTTTCATCATGTATAAATTGAAAATTACATTATTTTTAATATCAAACGCTCTCCTCTGCTTGATGCAGACTGTTGACTGTAAAAAGCGAGTTCTTTACTACTTCACAGGGAACAGCAGCTGTTGCCAGCTTACATTTTCGTCAGCTACAGCAGATTCTATTGCACAGTGACACCATTTCAAGGAAGAAAAAGTGTCAGGGTCCACAGAAACTGCTCAACCTGCTCCTGCTACATTCTTTGCCTTTTTAAAGCAAGCTTTCAAAATGTGTCAAGAGACGCATTTCCGCCAGAGCTTCACTTAGATATATGCACAATTTTGAAAATATTGAGTCGTTTACATTTTTTGTGTGGAAACTGTAAACACCCGAATGCCGTTATCTCTTCACTTGGAAGCTTTTCATTGGAAAGGCGCTAATGCAGCCTGGGAGGTAAAACAAAGAGGTTTGGTAAGATTATTAAGATGCAGGCCTGTCTTTTCATAAACTCTTGTTCTACATCTGCATTTTGTCTTCTCTACAATTGCTTGTGTTTCGTTGTACCACTGTACCCATTCTGTCACAAACACAGCTGGAGACGAAGCCTGTCTAAACATGCAGGGAAGGACGCATAGGAATGAAGACTGGCAGCATTCCTCCAGATAGCACACACACACACACACACACACACTTTGAACTCAAGAACCCTGCAGTGATCAGTGAATCCTCGGTGAGTATGTGGGCTTATTCGTGACCGTGTCTGACAACATACACATTATCTGTTAGTGCATCCTCACCAGCCAGTACCTGAGCAGGCTTAACAAATCTCGTATTTCTTAATGTGCTTATTTAAGGTGCTCTCTCCCACTATCCTCTCCCCTGCAAAACAGTGGAAACGTATTCCCTGCCACAATAGAAGTTTTAACCAGCCATATTTCCCCCCCGACACACACATATATATATACAACCCTGGGACCCACGGGGGAAACATAGTGTAATTGATTTCTGACACTCACAAGGACACTTGCACGTCTCTTATTGTAAGTCATGTCTCCAGCAAAAGCGACTTTACAGGCCTGCGGATGAATCTATTCTCAAGCAGAAGACAGGTTCATAATGCTCATATTTCAACCTCAGCACATCTTGAAAAGAATGTCACTGAATAGCTGTTCCACGCTGCTGAACCCGGCCGCTCTCCTCTCCGCCTGTTGCCTGATCTCTGCACTGAAAGACGAAAAGGAGTGCAGCGTAAGTCCCCTTTCAACACTAAAAGCATAATTCACCTTATAACTGCGGCTGCGTAACAAAACAAATGTAGCAACAGTGCAGGCACATGAAGTACTTTTAAAGGCGGGTACAATTTCACCTCGCCTGATGAGCTGATCGAACTCTGAACAGCCTGCGGTTTTGTCGAACTGTATCAGTGACGCCCCGCTGTCCCGCTTCACCTGTCCAATTTTACTCAGCCACAGGCCAGCAGCTGGCCAGCAAAGGAGGGAGATCTTAGAGGTAGAGAACTACTAAAAAAAAGGACAAAGTAAAACATGGCTTTTGTTAACCATTTTTGTTCACAGTGCTTCAATAGTGTGCTTCATAACTTGTCAAAAGCTCACATCTCTCCATCTGTTCATCATAGTCTTTGCTTCAAGCCAGCCCACAATGCAAGCCATAATGTACAGAAATTGCCCAGAGTTCACTTCACTTCTCCGCACTTAAAGGGCCAGGCAGTCTGATTGCTTTGGCTCAATTAGGTCACATCACAGGCGCTAATAGGCATTAAATGCTAAATGGTGTCCTTTTCGACCTCCTCAGGAACCCACTGAAGCTCATTAAAAAAGGTGACAGTCTCGAAAGGAACATCGGAGAATATTGTCCCCAATCAGGAGCTACACACACATACGCACATAGTCTAAGCATACACACACACACACACACACACACACACACACACACACACACACACACACACACACACACACATTGAATAATGGCAAACAATACCAAACAACAACACCAAGCTGTAATTGCTCATGCAAGTAATAGAGTGACCTGTGAAATGAACAGGAATGGAGGCAGCCAATGAGGTTATTTGGCCAATCAAAGGCATCAACGCATGGCTGGTCCAGGCGCACGGACTTGAAAGACCTAGCATGACATTACTTGAATTTCTCACTTATCTGGCTCTGTTCTCCAGAATGAAAAAAAGGCTTCAAAAACATATTCAGCATCGAGCAGAAATGGTCCTGATCATCATAATCTAACCCTTTCCCCTTAGTCATAATGAGCAATTGATCATTTTGTGACTGCGGGTGCCCCAACATACACAAGAAAATAAATTGCTTCCCATTCAGAGTATTTCCTCCAGTCATAGAGCACAGGTTGTAACATCATGCTCTACTTCCCAAAGGCAGATAGTATCTGTCACAGATAAAGTCACATTATTATTTTCAGCTGAGAGGATTTCAGGAGTTTTTTTTTTCATTGTCCATTGTGAAAGATCTGCCTCATGGTGTCAGCCGACAATGGCGTTGATCACGTTATTCAGCCATTGTGCAACATCTCTGTCTGTTTAGTTTTTTCTCAGCCCTGATAAGTGTTAGTTGAGTAAATAAATTCTGGCTTAGCTAAACATTCACAAATTCAAAGTAAATAACTTGCTGATAATGTTCTCTGTGTGTGTATTCCAATGTGTTTCTAGTGTAACACTCATTGCTAACTAGATTTTGGAAAACACATTCCGTGGTCACTGCGCACATGCTTCTGAAGCAGTGCATTTGGGGTCTTACGACCTCAACATTAACCACTGAGTGTGTAGCGCGTGTAGCGTTTCTGCACACCTGCCTTCGTCCTTACAAGGTCGGAATAACGTTCCTTTAAAGCGTGACCTGGGCTTATCCTCACTCTGCAATGCAACTGGACTCCCGAGGTCAACCCTAGACGATTTGAGGCCGTGGGTACTCACTCAGCTCTGGGGTTATTATTAACCTATAGCTAGCTCACCTCCTCACAGCAGCTGCCCCTGCCCTGCAGCCAGCAATAACTCCCACTGTGGAACATGCACACCGCTGATTGTAACACAAGCATTGTAGCAACACGGGACGATGTATACAAGTCATACACAGATCAACGCAGTCGACTACGCAGACAAGTGTTTACATGTGTATCTGGCATGTGCCCAACCAGCTACTCCAGCCATCAGGTTGTGCTGTTATCTCCGAAGGAACATTGACTTTCTGAAAGCTGGTACCATGGAGCTCAAGTTTGTCCTTGTGCATCTCCGTCTCGCCACATCACAGCGATGGCAGGCCAACAAAGGCTTTTGTAGTGCAGTGAGCTGCGCAACAAAAAACACACTGTTAGCGTTCTGTTGACAGAGGGGAAAACGGAGATTGAGGAAACTACAGAAAAGGCTAAGACTGAGGAAAGTGAGAAAGGGACAATTATAGCAGAGAAAAGGCAGCGTGGAAGTGTTTGTGGTGTGTGTTTGAGAGAGTAAACATGTTGGATAAAGAGGAAGACAGGGAGATACATTGCAACCGAGACAGACAGGCAGTCCAAGATGAGTCCAGCGCAGAGAGAAATGAAGGGAAGGAGAAACTGTGTGAGCTGCGTCGAGGTGGATGGATGAGAGTGGGATGTTGTGTCACCTGCTAGAGAGAGCTGTCTAGCTCTGGCCAATCCTGAGATTTAGGAGCAACCAGCTGCGGAGAAAGGAATAAGAGACCAAAGAAAAGAGTGGTGGGGGGATGCCGACTCCACCACTTGGTTATCTGTTTCCCCTCACAAGTGATAACTGGCACAACGGTATCATCCAGTCCCTTATCTAAACAAACAAGCCGGAAGTTTGCCGTCTTCCTGTGTTGTAAATCAAATAATTTATCCATGTGGGTCACACTTTAGGTCATCAAAGTTACATGTTGCAACATAACCCAGTGTACAGTGGAGGATCCATTTAGCATTCTGGATGTCTTCATCTGTCTTCCCCTTTATCACTTCCTTCCCTTTATTTCTCTTGTCCCTTTTTTTCTGCTGAGCTGTCTCTTTTATTCCGGTGTTATAGTCTCAAAAGGCAGATTGTTAGGACCAGCAATGAGAGGGATTGTGCCGTGCAACAGAAATAAATGCTCCCTTGGGAATGATTTGTCTTGTTCACGTCTGCCCGGCGGAGTCCACGCTCATTCAAGGAGCTACTGAGCATGTGCGAGACGGGACAACACAATGGAGATGTATCTCTCTGCCTCTCCATAATGCCAGGAGTCTGATTTGCAGGCTTAACTCAAGGGGAGGAAAAATACAAACACTATTTTGTGTCCTTTGTAAAATCCTCTGTGAAGCTCCCCTTAAATATTAATAAAGTCTGCTAAAATCTCACATCCTGATTTACTGTTTGGTCTGGTGAGCAATTCTCTTATCTGTGCTTATGTGTGTTTAATTCCCAAAGGACACCTCGCCACAGGATCTATCGTTCTCTGAACAAACGTGATCAATGAGGATTCTTCCCCTCTCTGTGTCACTCTCCTTCAACCATTTTCTCTGTTCTTCTGCAGGTCTTATCGCTCACAAACACTCATTTATTTTCCTGCTACGGGCTGGCAGGTGCACGGCACAAACAGGAGAACGAGCAAGTAAACAAATACAGGCTTCTTTGGGAGGAGCAGGGATGGATCCACACTGTTAATGTTTTGCGGGGACAGATGCAGCATCAGCTTGACTTCTTTAAGCCGCATTGACACCAATGTGTTCTCCACAAGGAACAAAATGAGGGGTGGGGGGAACTTGTTTACTAAAATACTTTAAGTG